AAAAAAGGGCACATACGTACGATTTCTGTATTTACTGGGTCACGAAATGTAACGCAAATTTCGAGTCACATAATTATGGGTTCTACTTTTCGCTACTAACGACAGCTTTTACAGGACTCGAAGTTTGCGTTATAACCGTGCACACACTAACATTAAAAAGAGGTATTTAAAAAGAGGTAAAACTATTTCATTCTGTAGAATAACAACTTAAAATCATCGGTAAACGTACCCCTTTCAAAGATGGAAATCGCTGCTTCTTGGGCTTTTTGATTCCATTTCTGTGCCATTTGTGGCCTAAAAGAGTAAACAAAGTGTATCAAATTGAAATAAATATGCCATAAAGACTTCAACTCGCTGAAATAAACTGAAACACAAGTTACACTGGTTAAATACTCACCTTGATTGTGGTTGGTGTGATTCTTTGACTTCGCCATATCAAGACGTGAACAATCTCGCCAAAATCCTACAAATTTTGCCAAAAATTGGTTAGTTCAAAGGCACTTTAACACTTTAATCACTGAGCCACTAAAAGTCAACAATTGGAGGTTAAGATGGTTAATTGAGGCAAAGATATTACCTGGATTGTTCAACCAAGTCAAGACAGTTTTCTCAGGAGGAGAAGGAGAGGAAGAGAGAGGAGGCACACGGCCGAAAAGAAGTCTGGGGAGTTCGTTCCCAGTCTGTCAAAAACACGAAATCACGGTCACAACAAAAAAAAGGGCTTGGGTGACGATTTGAGCTACGATGCCAACCCAGTCAGGAATCAAACACAGTCTGCACGTAGTAATCAGTGAATTTTACATTCTGCGCCGTAAAGGAAATTCCTGGTCGGCCAACTAAGGTCAAAGGTGTAATTTTCTTACACGTAGTAAACCAATGACGATGTTTTTCATGGCGAAGAAGATGTGAGAAGCCTTAGAGGTCTTGAAATCTTCTCTCAGAAGAACATGAGAATTTTAAGAAAGGGAAAAAAAGTGAGGCAAGATCTCAGGAACCGATCAGAAACCGATCGCGAGTCACCCCACGTCGGACTCGTTTGAATCATACAATCAAGATGCTTCCTTGTTCGTGGCATTTTCCAAGGGAGGGTAATTATTTCCGTGCTTTTTCCCCCACTCCATCTTTTGGACTTGGTCCAAATTGACCCACATGAGAACACCCACACGAGCCAAAAACATTGCGGTAATCAAAGTTGTCAACGTTTCTTTTGATAGCGTAACATGCAACGCCTAAACCACACGCAAAACAGAATACAGTTCCGGAGTTCACAGGGTTCATGAAGAGTGTGGTCTACTTGTTGTAATCGCGATTCGTTTTCTTGTTGTTGTTGTTGTTTTGTTTGTTCTTTTTTGTTGCACCTTCAGTTTGCGACAAGATTAATTTGAAAGGTTGAAGTCAGCGGCAGCACAGGCGGCCCAAGCTCACGTCTCGAGAAAAAGCCAACGATGAATTCATGAACGCGTCACGCGTTGTGCGACTCGGTGTTAAGTTACGGGAGGAACCGTTGCCCTGTGTATCCGTCGTAGTTTCTGGCGATTTCTGCCGTTTCAAGCTTGCTTTACCATCACTGTTATCCACTTCGTCTTTTGACATGGATAACAGTGATGGTAAAGCAAGCTTGAAACGGCAGAAATCGCCAGAAACTACGACGGATACACAGGGCATGAGTAAGTTTTATTGATTTTACGTGTAAAATATTCATATTTCGAAATATTTATCGTTGTAAATCCACCATATTTCGTTCCCCATACTATTCCTTATAACGTGTTCAAATTTTCAACGGTTCCTACCGTAACTTAACACCGAGTCACACAACGCGTGACGCGTTCATGAACTCATCGTTGGCTTTTTCTCGAGACGTGAGCTTGGGCCGCCTGTGGCGGCAGCAGCTCATGACTGGCAGTGAGAAACCGAAAATTTCTACACAGGGAAAGATAGTTACTTCGAACAAGACATCCTGTTTGAAGACGGAAAAATTTCGTCACTTGGTGTTTATGACTAGAGGGAAGGGGTGACGTTCTGTTGTCATAGTGCCTGTTTGCACCTTAGTCTACGACAGGATTAATATGAGGGGTTGAAGTCAGCAGCAAAAGCCCATGACTGGCAGTGAGAAACCGCAAATTTCTGCCCAGGGAAAAGTAGTTACTTCGAACGTGACATCCTGTTTGAAAACTGGAAGATTTCGTCACTTAGTGTTTATCACTAGAGGAAAGGGGTGACGTTCTGTTGTCATAGTGCCTGTATCAAAGAGTCTTTAACAGCATGTATGTAATGTAAAGGTTTATATTTTTTCACTCTTACAAGGAGCATGGTTTTGGTCAAAAAGCAGGAGAACACAATTACAGTTGACCAGCGCACCCAAACAAAACGATTACAGTTCAACAGCACGGCTAAACAGACGATTAGTGTCGATTAAAACACTCAACTGGATTTTGAGCTTAAATTTAGCGAATTAATTTCCGCCGGTTTGGTTAGATCAAGTCGTCACAATTATCATTTCAATGTGTTCCCTTTCTACCATTTGTTAAACATTTCCGGAACAAAATTGGCCTGTCAAATAAATCTGCTCATACGGGAAAGTAAATTATAGAGAGTCTGGTTTTAAATCTACTTGCTAGTTTATAAAGACACTCATCTAACCCAGAAATAGTCTAAGAATAGATATCACGATTGTGTATATTGGATAATATTGTCAAAGCTTATTTGATGTTTTTCCCAATTGAGAGGGCGTGCTTAATTTGCTTGCAATCCTCTTATCAAAAATTTTTTACTATCCTCCCACGGGAACTTCTTCAACCGCAAGCAAATCGATACGTGACTTCTTTGGCAAATGGGAGGGCATAAGAATATCCTAGAATTTGTTTTGAAGCTCAACTTTTTTTGAGGTACAAAGGAACATTTCGAGACACTCCAAAGAACGAACAGTGGTTGCTGCTCTACACGTGCTGTTTGTGAAGTTATAAAAGATCATTTTACCCTTGG